TTCGTTGACTTCATTTGTACTTCATACACTAACAACAAATTGTGCACAGAGAAGTTGATTCAAAATCGAACACATTGCTCACACATTGCTCTCGCTAATATGTGTCCTGGTGAAATGACCTGTTGGGCGAAAGACCAATCATTTACAGATGAAGTGTAGTGTATTACTTTTCCTTAAGCAAAGCATTTTATACAACAATAGCTAGCGGGCGTGAATGAAAATCAAGGCACAATTTTTTTCAGACTACAATACAAGTATAAGTTCTAGCCTTTTAAAATAAGGAAAGATGTCGTTCGTCGTCGATAAGGTCGCTACATAGTAACGAAGGTACTAATGAAGAGCGCGGTACGGCTATCCCATATTTCATGGCTATAAGACTTAATTTTTAAATAAATCTATAAAAGCAACAAAAACAAACCTATTTCCTCGAATTTGAATGCTTCTATTGGCATAAGTGCTGGCCATGTTTATCTTAAACTCATGACTATTATATATTCAATTAATTAAAACTCTTTTTTTAACCACTTTGTTGTACTGAATATTCACTACTACTATTACGATGCTTTTAGATCAACAGCAGTGTATTTTATTTACTTAGTTTGACTTAGCAATTATTGCTCGTTGTTCTTTTCGTTCGTGATACAAATTTCGTTGTTTCTTGACTTTCTCAATTCTTATTTGATGCCCATATCGACAAAATCGCGGTATTTTTGACAATTAATCACGATTCTTGGAAAATCGCAGATTAATTGCGATTAATCGGCGATTCTGGTGATTTTTCTTTTTTTTAAAAATCGGCACTGTGATTAATTGTTAATTTTAAACGATTAAATGGTTATTCACCATTTTATTTTGCAGTAACGTATGTATATAAGAAACATAATTTCGACGAGAAATGCACTTGTATTTAGATCATTTTTTATTTTAGAGGAAAACCGAGTTGTCAAGTCGTCTCTATGGTCCCTCAGAGCTTTAAGTTGAGGAGTCCAGTGAACAGCTGATATCTGGGAAATGTCTCGACTCGAATCGTCGGAAAGGCTCCGACTTCAGCTGGTACTAAGACCCTTGTTGGATGACGTACATGTCATTATACATAATAAACAATGAAAAAACAGAAAAAAATATGTATTTTCTAATATGGGTTCGAAGTTATTACCAAGAAAAAACTCGTCAATTAATCGCGATTAAGCGCACAAGTCATTTTATGATTTTTCACGATTAACTGTCGATTTTTATGCGATTTTAGTACATGGGTGGTTCCGTAATCGTAGATTATTTTTTTCCAATTTTTCGACAAGTTTTTCCAAATGTTAGATAAATAGAGATCAAATTGTTTCGAAGCTACAATTCTGTGCACTGAATCAAAATTTGCATACGTAATAATGGCTACTGCTCAGGATGTCGAAAACGGTGTAATTAATTCCAATTAAATGCCATTTAATACGCTATTAATAAGCATTTAAATGGAATTTTTATGATATTTGACCCAGTTTTTAGGCCGTTTTTTGCCATTATAACTAGGAGCGTTTAAATGCATTTATTTACCATTTTTTTAAATGTCAGAAAGCGGTCAAATAACAGGCATTTAACTACTGCCAGTAACCCTGCCGATCATATTTTTTTGCCGTTTAAATATCAGTTTTTAGACCGTCAGAAAATGTGAAAAAAATATCTTCTGAAACCTAAGGTACTATCACCTGCACCGACCCAAGAACCACAGACCACCTCTTCCCCATGGGGAAATTTTAGTAGGTACCGCGGTATGTACACGCGTGAATATCGTGAAATGAATTGTGATCGTGCGTGAACATCATAAAATGGTGTGTGAGCACGCGTGAAAAATATATTCCACTTGTTATTTTTGCACGTGATCACAGGTGAAAGTCGTGAAGTGTGTAGTGGCCACACGTGAATTCCTCATGTTAAAATTTCCGTAAAAAAATATCACTTGCGGACAGGCGTGAAAATGTTTCCCACTAATTTCATTATGAAAAATATCTTCACATTTATTCGCACGTCAGTTTTTCACGCAACCCATTCGTGAATAATATTCACGCTTAACTCTAAGCGACAAAATTCTTACGTTTCACGTGCGTCCGCGTGAGAAACCTTTTACAGGTGCGAAATGTCGTGAAGATTGAGCGGCAAGCATACAAATTTCAAATACAAATTTCAAAAATACAAAAAATACAAAAATACAAATTTCTCCTATATCTTCCGAAAGTTGTACATACATACAGATGAAAACCTTTGCTGTAGGAATATGCCTGGGAATCATCTTGTTCCACAGGAGGAAGTATTAACTAAAAAAGTTTGGAAAAGTTGGAAACTAAGAAAAAAGATTTAGGAAGTTCACGAGTAATCACGCGTGGGAACTTTTCTACACGTGGGAACTCGTGAGGATTGATTCGACAACTATAATATGAAATTTATTCAGTAGTTTCTCAGGCAAGTTAGCTCAATAGTAGTATCGTAGATTTCTAATTCAAAGTACCCTGGTTCGACTCTTACTTTGCGGTGATACATATAAAATGTAATATTTTAGAAACTAGTGGTCACATGTGGAAAAAGTTATAGATGAAGTTGCATTGATGAAATCTACATTATACCTTGACCATGGTGACCATGTATAGTCAGTTGACTATAGATGGTCGGCATGGTCAAGATTTTTTCACACGTAATCACGCGTGAAGATTGTTCACTTGTGTACACGCGTGAAGATTTTTCACGCGTAGCCACGCGTGTGATGTTGCAACAACACGACCAAACTGTCGTGAAACTTGCTGTCTTTACCTACAAAATTTCGTGAAAGTCCAAGCTGACATTTCACGGTCCCTCACGCGTGAAAAGTCGATAAAATTTCCCCATGGGTCGAGACAAGTTTCTATAACTCGTATAATTGAAGAAGAGAAAAACTCTAAATTATTTTAGGAAAATCAGAGTCATTTATACTAGTCATGACGATAGAATAAAACGGTGAATGACTTGGTGACCATAAACTGGCTGTTAGATGCCATTTACGATCAGCTTTTTGCCATTTTGAAATGGAGAAAAAACTGTCTCAATACGTACGTGTAACAGGCACATTTATTTGGCATTAATTAACGCGGTCTAATAAATGGACGAAATTGCCATTTAATAGTGTCCGTAAAATGACTTTTTTCGGACATTGACTATAATCTGGCATTATTTTCGCCGTTATTTCAAAGTCATTAAAATGGCGGTTAAATGCCAATTTTCATTTGATTTTTACACAATTAACAGGCCATTTTTTGGTATACAGTTAACAAGCTGTTAGTAGACAATTAAATGTCAGTTTTCATCTATCTGGGTATCCTACACAAAACCGAACATTCAAGGACGTTGATATGATCAATTTTCCATAATGAGTAAACCATTCGCGAATGAAACTGGTTGAAATGCCGCATAACACTGTGGTGCAATTAGGGCTTTTCTTTGAGAAGCGATTGTGACAGACAAAAAAGAGGTGAAGAGTTGTACCGTACCTCATTTTGTAGAAAAATGTTTGCTCTACAAGACTGGGTCGTCAAAACACTTTAATAGTTTGTAAATTTCAATCAATCTGATTCAGAAAAAGAGAGAAATATACCGGTCCATGCCTAAGTCTGATAATTATGTTGACTTTTATAATTAGTTTTGTATCACCTTAGAGAGACATTCAGTCATGCATCCCTTCAAAAAATGGAAATCAAGAATGAATCTTCAACAATATTTGTTTTGAGACAAATATTTAAAAACCTAGTGATAGTTAAACATGTGATAGTTAAATTATTCTATTTTGACTATTTTCAGAAGAAACAAAAAATTTATATTTATTGTAATAAATTAACATTGTAATTTTTTTTAGACAATAGGTAACGTTACTGGATACTAGTCGATGCTTACACGCAGATTTCAATAGTTTTCAAGCTATATAAGACTAGATGAGCCATTGTGAAACTACACGAAATCATTCGTACACGAGATGAATAATAATGTTAGAATATTTTTGAGTTATCAAAATTTTCCACTCTCTGTTCAATAATCTGAAAAATTCAAAATAACAAAAAACCTCGAGTAAAGTACTCATCCATCTCTGTCATGCCTGTCTATGATTCGATATCGGTCGTCAGAGAAATCAAACAGAGTAAACAACAAAATTATTTATAAAAGTTATACAGGTTGCTGTGATGTTTACTTTACAAAACAGAAACGACTTTCTTAGAAATTTTTTAAAATCAAAACATTTGGACGCTACTTCATTTACATAAACCAACAAAACATTAGATTCATTGATATATCACATGCGTTTTAGAATACAATTTTATGAATTTTTTTACTAATTTACTTTTGATGAAGATAAACCATTATCAGAAACGTCTGACGATAATATTAGATACTTGACTCTCGTTATATCATGGTTATTGCTGTTGTTTTTCGTAAACTCATCAATAATAACTGGCAAGACGGAGAAAAGTTAGTAGATTTTTCACTTCTAATGTCAAGATGTATGCTCTATTCTCATATCTCTTCTTTTCTGTCGGATATATATAATCTGAATTGTCAAACAACAAATTTTCTGGCGATTTATGTATTATCCTTGAGTAGTTTTTTAAAATGTTTTATATCTCTGAAAGATTGTATAATTATTAAAAAAAACTTAATCGGACATATGTATTCATCAACCTTTTTATAAATTTAACCTGCTTAAAAGAGTTTATGTCAATAATAAATAGTAAAGAACATAAAGAAAGAGTCGTTTTTTTCTCTCTCTATTTTTACAGAGCATAAAAACGGTGAGCACTATGACGCATCAATTTCTTCGTTTTTCATTTATCAATAAATGTATCAAAAAAAAAAAAATACAAGCAAAGAAATGGAAAAAAGCGTAGAAGAAAAGAGAAAATATAAAATGAGTAGTACATTTTTTACCTGTATCAATCTAAAACTGTAAAAAACAGTTTTATACATACATGTCCAAAACACAAAAACATCAAGTGATGGATAATTCTCGAGCATCACAATATACGACGATGCGTTCTCAACTTGATTATGTTCATAATGATGTCAATCAAGTTGTGGAAATAATGAAAGATAATATCATCAAAGTAATTGAACGTGATGACAAACTCACACAAATGGACAGTAAAGCGAAGATTTTATCGGAGGATGGCATGCAATTTGAAACAACTACAAAGAGTGTATTAAGACAAAAATGGTGGAAGAATGTAAAGATATGGATTATTCTTATCATTCTTTTACTTATTATTATTATTATCGTAGTAACGGTAACGGTTACATTAACATATCAACAGAAAAATGATAACGGTACAGGATAACAGAGCGAACAAATGATATGAAAGAATTTTTTATTATTATTTTTTTATTCCGTCTTTTAGTAGAATAAAATAGAGATAAATACAAGGATTCTTGTATTTTTAAACTCGATGGAAGGTTTCATGCAGAGACAGTTGATCGAATGAATATTAGTTAAAAACATAAAAACTGTCAACGATGATGGAACTTGATGTTTTCTCTACTGTGACTTCGCTTGGATAAAATGAATCTGTATTATTTATTTTATCTTCAATTACAATCAACTCAATGAAAAAAAGTCCCACATATACCGAACTTATAGCCCTACAAAGAAATATTTTATCGGCACTAGTTGTGCACGGATGCGCACCGATGCCGCATAATTTTTTTTCTTGGCACCGATGCGCATCGGTGCCACAAAGCATGTAGAAATATTTCGAATGTCTTGCTGACTTCATTTTTTTTCTTCTCATAAGAGAAGTACCGAGGTAATGTCAATGTGGTACTGATCAGTGTCGCATTCTAATACAAAATTCAGTATAAACAATCATAATAAAAACCTAATTAAATTGATAAAATAAATTTCAGCGTGACACTGATTTTTACCAGTGCGACAGAAATATATCGGCACTGATGTAGCACTTGCTAGGTACGGGTGCGCACCGGTGCCAGCCACGCAGGTGAAACTCATCTTACAAGATCATACAAGATCTGCCGTTTTCTTATGAAATATTGTAACAAGAAATCGCATGATCTTGCGATAAGAAATAAATACAAGTCACGTCTCTCAATGGCAAGATCTTGTAAGATCATACGCTTTTGTGTTACAAGATCTTGTAAGATCTTGTCACGTCTTATGAGCTGATCATGTAAGATCTTATGACAAGAAGTTACAAGATTCCGCAGGATCTTACAACATCTTAAGACAAGATCTTGTAAGATCATGCAGTAAGATCTTGTTACAATATTTCATAAGAAAACGGCAGATCTTGTATGATCTTGTAAAATGAGTTTCACCTGCGTGGCTGGCACCGGTGCGCACCCGTACCCAGAAAGTGCTGCATCAGTGCCGATATGTTTCTGCCGCACTGGTAAAAATCAGTGTCACGCTGAAATTTATTCTATCAATGTAATTAGGTTTTTATTATGGTTGTTTATACTGAATTTTGTATTAGAATGCGACACTGATCAGTACCACATTGACATGCCAAAAACATGCGACATTACCTCAGTACTTCTCTTATGAGAAGGAAAAAATGAAGTCAGAAAGACATTCGAAATACTTCTACATGCTTTGTGGCACCGATGTGCATCGGTGCCAAGAAAAAAAATTATTCGGCATCGGTGCATCCGTGGATATCCTTGAGAATGATTTTTTAATAAATCGAAACGTTGGAAATTAAAAATGATTAAAACAGTTGTTTTAGTTATACTTTTCTTAATGAAAACTCTACCAATCACAAACAAAAATGTTTCTTAAGCTTCGAGCCGAAGGAAGAGAGTACACAAGGAAATGAATAGCCCTCCATCATTTGTGGTATATAACTTTAGAAAAATGGTACTAAAACCCCTAGAAGGTGAGATTTATCTGATGTTAATAGTTCCACCAAGCAACTTTGATTGATGTGTAAGGTTCTTGACAATCTATATGTAAAACTATAAAAAAAAGCTGATGTTTTGAAATCAAACGCAAAATATGTGTTAACACAGAATAGACAAATACAATGGTCCGATCTGGGTCCAGTATTAGATAGAAAAAACCTCCTCATGTTTTTCACATTCTTATATGAGGTGGTATTCTCCTCATTGTGTAATATTCTTACTATGATCTGATATCTTATCTTTGTGTGGTACGATTTTCTTCTCTTATATATAATACACAACTGTATTTTTATGTTAATGAGCATTCAGTAGTTATTTTTCTCTGTTAAATAAATACACGGTCATTATCATCCTCACATTGGTGCACTATCCAATCGTTTGTCAATTCAACAACACAAACAACACAAATTCAGATTAACAACAACAATGAGGATCCAAACGAACAATTACATTCAACAGCAACGTCAATTTTTACAGGAATGGTTTAAAAATGAAAAAGCCTATGAAAATAATAGAATTTTGACGATAAATAATATGGATGAACTACATACAATATTTGTGTTAAACCAGATGATATAATCATTTTACAAGCAAAAAATGGAGGACCCATGAAACTTATTGGTAATAAAAAAGAAACAAAACGATCTCCAGACAAACCAACAACAATATCACTTTCATCCACAACCTCTTTAAACATCATATGATCAATACCAATCGACGATACCATGTAAAGGATGAAATACGATGAAGTTACGACAGTCGTATACGGCCGTATACGTTGTCTCATTCTTTTTCTTTTTTCAAAAATTTGACTTATCACGAACGACCGTATACGACTGCCGCAAATTCATCGTATTTCATCGTTTACATAGTATCGTATCCATACACGTATACGACCATCATATTTTGACGTATCTGAGGGTAAACGATCGTATGCCGCCTGGGATGAAACACCTGGGAATTAGTGTATACACAAAAAGACCCTCTTATCAATATTCATCAACATCAAGATATTAAGACAAGATTAGAAATTATTCATGAAAAGTTGCTTGGTGGAACTATTAACATCAGATAAATCTCACCTTCTAGGGGTTTTAGTACCATTTTA